ATTTACATTCCCCTGTTTTTACCCATCAGTCTGCCTGTTTTACTGTCTTTGAGGCAGGCAGTGAGATGGTACAGAGGACACGACAAAGATGGCGAGAAGGACAAAGACAAGGATAAGCAAGATTGAAACAAGCTCTGAACTACAAGAACAACAAAGATTACAGGCTGGGAAGAGAGCACACGGAGTTCAGTCAAATAAGTACATGCGCAGTCTAACTTTATGAGAAAGGAGCTACGGGAAACCATTCCACAGTGACATGATTTTGACTCACAAATAATGCAGAGGTACGAATTACCAGTGAAGACTACAAGAAAATACGTGCAGCGTAGCATACATGCATTTACGAAACACACGACTTAAAGTGCCACAAATCAAAATCCATGCAAAAATTCCCAGCCTACACTGCAGATAACTCGCTCATCCTTGAGGGACTAGGACAAAATGGTAACGTGTCGACGACTAGAGAAGCGCATTCCAAAAGATTTTCAGTGCGGTAGCTCATATGTGAAGAGTACATGTGCAAACCCAGCAGAATGAAACAGAAAGCTTCGCGAAGTTCTGTTTTCTTTTCTTTTCTATTCTTTTTTGAACAACGAATTTCAACGTAGCAGTTTGCCATTATTTAACTAAGTATCGATTTAGGTAGCAAGGTAAAATGAGAATTTTATCTTTATATTGCGAAAGAGTATTTTGGTAGTCTTAGATATAATTCCCCCCTAGCGCATGTTACGCCTTATAGTTCAAAAGAAAAACTCAGTTTGTGCTTCACTATATATCGTTTCGTCAAGTATGTTTTATTTTAAACTTGTCCGCCATATATAGTGGAATAAAAAGTTGTGAAAGTATCTACATCGAGAATCTTGGGGGAAAATAGTTCAGTATATAAGTTTTTACTCAAATAACAAATACATTTACAGCTATCACCTGTCCATGGTAGTGTACGTACATAGTGGGATGCACGATTTTACAAATGATTTCAAAGGAGAGCCTTTCTTTTTCTATTTTATCTAAAAGTTCTTATTTTGAAAAGCGTCGTGATATTTGCCAGCCAACTTCAGCTTTTGTCTCTGTCATAGTACGGATGTCTTCGTTTTCGTTCTAAAGACCGGCCCTGAATTAAAGAAAGTATAAAGTCGATTGTTTATTATGAGGAAAAGAGCACAAATCTTGCACACTTAACTGAAATAGTTAGGTTTGATACGAGGGAGGGGTGGGAAGGGTGGAATGAGACCCTTGGCCGATTAAAGTCAAGTTCGACAACTTGGGACGACTTGTCCATTGAACCTAACTCCCCAGTATTTTCTGATGATTTTCTCCAACAATTTGCCATACAAGTCTCCAATCTTGTTTGGGGAGTGACACTAAGTGCAAATTGTGAGATCAGAGTGACCCCCTGGTAAGGGTCCTTTTAGCCGCTTCATCTATCAAAATTTGAATGATTATATTGCTTTTTCACTTGTTTTACTACACTACATCTTTTTTAGTGGCCAAAGGGTATAGTTTCGCAGGTCAATAAAGGTAAAAGTTACCTAAAACAAACCCCACCAATCTTTCTTCCTTTCTCTGTGATGACGTTTAACCGACGCTTTTAAAACTCCTCTATAACCATTACGGATTCAGACCGGATATTGCAATGAGCAGCGAGGCACACCCACAATCGGCAAGTTGCCTTAAAGCTTTGGCCGAGTCGTTTTGTTGTATTCTCGGGCAGGACACTTTACTCTCACAGTGTTTCTCCCCACTTAGGAGTGTAAATGAGCAATACTCTGAGCTTCTCGACATCTGAGCAGGCTATTACCATAATAACTTCAGCGGTTTTGCATGAAGTGTACCAACCTTATGTCTGATGCAGAACGCATCTTCCCCTCAAACATTTCGTCCGCTGCCTTTGCTGCTGCATTCCCAGGTCCCATGGTCGCAACAGCAAGGATTTTATTCCCTCTGGAAGTAAAAGAAAGAACAAGGGAAAAGGAAAATAACTAGTGAAAAAGCAAGGATTGAAAGAAAAAAAATCAAAAAACTACGGGCCAAAAAACCTTAAATGACGTCTTCCCACGCGTTAGCAAACGTCACGAAGTTTACTTAAAGTTTTCACCAGTTAACTGCAGTTTCAGATTGACAGTGTAATTATGTTTCCTAAAGATTTTTAGAAAATTAGTTTAGGTGTTTATATTTGTTTAACTCACTTAGCAAAGTAAGCTGTAAATTTTTGTTCTTCGACGCTTCCGTCAATAACGACGTCATCAAATGAATGGGCGTGACCTAAGGACAAATTTGACAGTAAAGAACTCATATAATTTAGAGTTTGAAAATGATGGTAACATCAGGCAACCTTTGATTGGCTCGTGAGATTACTCTGTTTCTCTCGCCTTCGTCCTCTCATTTTGCTTCACATCACGCCTTACAGTTAGGGACCAGTCCCTCTCTAGCGCCTGGAGGGGGGGGGGGGAGGAGAGAGGGTTAGAGGATCACATGGTTTTTAAAGGGAACAGGGTGGGGATCAGCCGTCGCCAACAGTGTGGGGATCATTAGAACATTGCAGAGCCTAGAGGGGGATAAGGTAAAGTTTATCTTGACTTTAAAAAAAAATCCTCTGAACCTCCTCAACCACGTGATAAATAATGACCAGTCCTTGGAAGAACTGGTGATTTTTTCTTAAGCTTCAGTTGTGACAGTTTGTCAAGACGTATACTAGAAGTACGATTAGGATGATTTTAACAAGTTTACTGACTGAGATAATTTGGATATATCAACAAAGTTGAAATGGTAAATTGGCCACCGTAATGATTACAAAAGCTGACGTTTCGAGCGTTAGCCCTTCGTCGGAGCGAATAGAGGAATTGTGGGTTGTGTGTGCTTTTAAAGGCAGAAAATGGAGCTACGTTATTGGTGGGTGCATGGCAACGAGAAAAACATGAATAAATTAGTGGAATGAAAAGCGTTCATTGATCCCTGTGGGATTTAGACTGCCGGTTTGAAAGATGAGCTTTTGTTCAAGATTTTTACGGCTTTCCGTGCCACCTAAGTGCAAGGAAAGACCGCAGANTGAAGTTCTAGGAGTGGTTATGATGAGATTTTTTGCTGTGGCCGGCAATTCTTGTTTAGTTATGAGTTGGTTGATCGTATTCTTGACGGAGTTTTGATTGCTGGCAGTGAGGTCTTTGTCGATCTTTTGATAAAAAGAGGTGTCAGAAAGTTGCCGCAAAGCTTCTTTTTGGTAGAGGTCGGTGCGCCAAACAACGACTGAGCCGCCCTTATCGGCCGCTTTGATAACTATGTCTTTGCGTTTTCTAAGACTTTTTAGAGCCGACCACTACTGACTGAGAGCCCAAAACAACTCGGGGCTATGCTTGCAAGGATTTACTTGGAGGAAATCAATTCTGATTCTGCATTTCTGGTGGGATGGTAGAAAGTAGCTGAACTCAGATACTTGGCGACACTTACCACAATATCTGATACTTTTACCATATTGTGAAGTCCAGAAGAATGGTATTGTGTCGATCTCTTCGTTTCGTCCAAGCATATTACGCGCAGCAGTCAGTCCTACAATATAAACAGCACATCGGGTTAAACACGGCCATTAATTTGCAGGACTTCACTGAACAGCCAGCCTAGAGCAGAGGCGACAGGTTTCCCTTCTCGATCTTCCTTTACTCGTGCAGATCTACTTTTTTCGGGCACTCTCGACTCTCGATTTTTAAAGTAACACTTCAATACAACAAAAATAAGATAAGACTTCACTATATTTTGATCAGGATTCGCTAGCGAAATGTTTAACAGACCATTTCAACTACATCACCTAGAAAAACATACCATGCTTGTGCGAGATCTGCCAGTGACCAATAGAAACCTTTTCCCAGCCCAACATCTTCAGAGGGAAGTGAGCGATATCTCCAGCGGCAAAAACCCCTTCACAAGCCTTCATGTACTGCAATGGGAAGAAACGATAGGTTAGCAAAATAGAGGTAGGGCATGCTTATCTGTCCATAACCGTAAGGTTTTCTCCAAAAGAGGACACTAGTGTCTCAAATGGGTCACCAGTGTCTGAAATCGGACACTTGTGTCTGAAATCGGACACTTCTGTCTGAAATCGGACACTTCTGTCTAACATTGGATAAAAGTGTCCAAAATTGGGCGCTATCGAGTTTTTTAAATTTTTTTTTATTTTCAATCCCAGGTATTTTTTCCGATTCATTGCCAATTTCGTTCGTCATCTTCGTTGGCTTGAGAAGTAATTGCGAAATTTGGTTCATACAAAAAAGATGGTCAGCGCTGAAATGGCCTGAATTAGAGTAACCTTGCCCCTTAAGGCTAACTCTACAAACTGCTTATCATAAAAAGCCTTTCCGCGGCAAAACGATCTTATTCTAACCTTGTCAACAATTACATCTCCGCGGCTGGTCTGAGGCACGCCACTGTTTTTCAAAAATTCAGTGCATGGTGATACACCTAGGAAAGAAAGTGGATAGCGGTTAGCGTAGGCTCCAGAACTAGCGGTCTGTTTTGTTCTTGAGCATCATATTTCCCCCCTCACAATGACTCTCTACACACTAAATTCAATGGGTACCAGCAAATTGTGTGGGAGACAATTAACAAATGGTAAACACCACAGCGTACACTATTGAGTTATGGATGCACGCGGGAGGTTGCTAAGCACGAAAGAAGCGTAAGAGTCGCTCGAGGCGATAGCCGAGAGCGACTCTAGCTTCTTGAGTGCTTAGCAAACCTCCCAAGTGCATCCATAACTCAATAGTGTACGCTGTGGTGTTTACCATTTGTTTTATAACATAACATTGATACATTGTAGCTAAAGAGTTCCCTTTTATTTAACAAATCTTACGTGACCAGAAAAATCAAGCGCGCGCGGAAAAATAGTCTTTGCATTTGCTCACGTTAGCAGCGTACACCCATGGGCAAATGGGGAACGCTAAATTGACCAATCAGAGCGCGCGCTTTACTGTGGTTATGTTATAATTTTCCTTGGGTGTACCCTGGTGCTCTATCCTGGATTGAGTTGTTTCAAACACGACTGGGTTAGGTCAAGCTTAGAGTAAATATTTTGAAAGTACTTGTATAGCCTTGCAAAGAGGTTCCTGATACTACTTTTCAGAGCGTTCAGTTTTGCCTTGCACTAAGATAAAACCCCACAAGAGGTTAGCAAGATATACGCTTGCAAAGAGGAGAATCAAAACGAAAGCCGGTTACTTTGTGAATCATCATCCGGCACTAACGTAAATTGTGAAGAAAGTCAGTGAACCATACCTAATCCCTGGATGCAGATATCACCAGGAACTTCTGTTCCATTGTTGAAACACACAGCTGTTAACTGAAAGTAATACAAGAGACAGTTCGTATTACAGACGAACTAAAAAAAAACTGACAAAGCAATTGGTGAACTTTTAAGTTGCACAGAATTCGTAGAGTAATCGATTGACGCATTGCAGTTTCTTTTGCTACATGAATTTCGGATCAATATCAACAATAAAACGTAAGCAAGTAACGTTGTTTTGCGCTTAGATCCACAAAAACGTCAATAATTTTAAAAGTTTTTATGAACTCATAATACATGTTAATCTTTTCTGGCGTGAAACACCTTTTTTTCGGTTCAGTATAAATATTCTCCATACTGTTCTCTATACATTTCCTACAGTTCTGGTATTTGTTTAACAATCAAGAGCTTCTTTAGTAGGTGATCATTTCCTTTATTCGCCTCACCTTAATGTTTCAGTTAGGGATGATATCGTTAAGAGAAATTAGATGCTAGTCACTTTTAAGGGCTTGCGAGTTAGAAGGCAACTTTGTATGTCCTAGAACTCCCAAGACGTAACTCCATCCCTTTACGGGATGACAAAATTAACTTTGTTATTTAAAGAGAAAAATCCTCACTTTTCCGTTGTCACCTTTGAAACTACTGACAGCAGCATCGGTGATGAATTTTACTCCTTTGTTTTCGTGAGTCTGAAGGAAGAGGAAACAAAGTTTCAGAGTGCACCGGTTTAAACAAGCTTTACAGTACGAAAGAAGGGTGATTGCAGGCTGTTTGGGTCAAGAGGCCGTTGGGCTTTTGAACTTTTTTCCATACAAACAGTTTTTCTTCAGGCTACGCAGCTTCCCTCACTGTAAAACTCCTGGAAACTCACTGACTTTATTTTCAAATTTAAGCTGTAAATCAAAGATTTCAGTTCCTAATCAGACTTTAGGGTTCATGCACGGCACCTTATAATATCTCTGAACCGTTCCCAGTTGTCATGTCCACGTCTACTCGACCGCACGGTTGCGAGGGACTAGGACCACTACCGACTTCCCCTGCGCGCACCTCCCACTTCCTCGTTGTTGTTGAAAAGTAGAAAAACGACTGGGGACGAGTCAGTAGAGCTTTCCATTACCTTTTTCAGCATAGCGCCTATCTTCTCGCCTAGCACGTTGGCAAAAGGAATACTGCTTCTACCAACACATGTCACAGACGCTGCTTTGTCTGCAAAGTTCGACGCCAGTTCCATACCTTACAGATTAAATTGAAATGGTAAACCAAAATTACCGGTGATCTAAATTGAATTCACGTGATGAATGAGCAAGCTACTGACATCCATGGTACATTCTTCCCTTGGCAAAAGCGAGGGAAGCTTGGGTGAGGCTGCATCACCCAACCCAAACTCGCCTCCGGCTCGTGATTTGCAAGCCTTTTGTCGTGTTCTCCCACCATCTCAAATGGGCTATTACGCCGGAAACGGATACAGAGTACGGTCTATTGCAAAACAAACTGAAATAAAGGTCTGGCATTTGATACCAAGAGTCAATGACCAGTGGGATATAACAACATCAATGATTTACCAATAAACGAAGTTCCAATGATAACCACGTTCTTTCCAGGAACAAAGGAGGCTGTATAAGATACAAACACACATGGTTTCCATGACCTTACCACAATGACGTTGCCTAAAGTTAAGATGATTACGATGGCTAACAACACCAAAGTTAATTAACGCCACGGCTAGGAAAAATGAAAAATCAAAGTTAACACTGACATGTTAATGTCGTCATGTGCAACAAAATGTGAGATGCAATATGAAGTAAGATTGGTTTTAGAGTCGAGACGGTGGTGCAAGTTTTCTGAACTAATCATTAACTGTCATTCTGCAAAACTTACACCATGGTGAATTTTTTTAGACACTCGACTACAAATTACTCTTTAATGTACTCACCAATCTGGTTAGCATCTTCAGGACTTCTCAATAGAAAGATATTCTCCAGATCATTTCCAGGTATACTTAAACTTCTCGGTCTAAATGCAGTTTAAAGTAGAAGACGTAACTCTAATCAACTATAAGCTTCTAGCATTCAAATTGACTGTACTACATCGAAAACAGAACTGAGCAATGAAAGCCATTGTGTAATAGGTGGACAGTTGAACAAATGGATGAAAGAGTAAAAGAATAAGAAGTAAATAAAATGATTGGAGAATGGATAGAAGGGTGGACGAGACAGGGATGGATGAAAAAGTGAATTCAAAGTGTAGATGGGTGGAATGAGAGAAATTATTGAAAAGAAGAGGAAAGGTGATGTCAAATAAAGGGTACAAGGGATGTAGGGAATGAAGAAAGGAATAATTAAATGAGGGGAACACTCGCGTCCACATGAAACGCAAAAAAATTCATCCAAAACTGAAAACCCACAGTATAGTTTTATTCAAAACTGAAAACTACATCTAAAAATCCTGGTCTAGTCCTCTCCAGAAGTTTGGATGGGGAAAATTCACAAAAATTCATCAAAAAGCCACCCTGTAAGTCTGAAATTGTCAGGAAACAGGATATCACATCCAAAACTGAAAACCAAATGGCAAAAAAAAGGAAAAATGCAAACTAATACATACACAAAAACCTAAAGACCCACTTAAAAAAAACCAAAAACACTGCAAAACTGATCTAAAAAATGACCAATTAACTGCAAAGCCAAAAAAGTTTCCCTCTGCGAAGGAAAGGGAGATGAACACTTGAAGGAAGGATGTTTACACAATGAATGTGGTCAAATGAATTCTAACAGATAGATAGCAAACAATAACCCACATCAACAAATACATGGAGATACAGGTAGGAATAGGTGCAAAGGACAATTTGATCATAAATTGTAACAAAAATTAACTTACTTTCCTCCTGTAGCAATCAATACATTATCATAGTTTAGAACTGTGCTATTACTTAAAGTGACAGTCTTTTTGTCATTGTCCAGTGCTGTAGCCTGAATGAGGAAAATAACCAAATGCTATATCATTAACATTGCAATTAAAAACTTGAAGAAAAAATAACACTTTGCCTCATGGCGCAGTAACTAAATCATTTCTTTCTCTCCACAAACTTATACACAGTAATGCAATATATATCTGAATGATAATACAGTTTCCAAAGGCTCCATGACTATATTGACTTACCTCAGTTTCTGTCATGAGCTCAATATCATGATCCTTCAGAAAATCCATTGAACGTAGTTTTAAAGAATCAGCTGTGGCAGCCAATTTCTAAAATGAAAAAAAAGCTCATTTATGGCAACAAACTTACATTAAACAGAAAAACTAGTTATAACCAACAAAACTGTTGATAAGAAGTTACTAGACAAAAAAAAGTGATTGTTAAAAAACATAAGCTACCCCAATTGGCTCAACATTTTGTTTGAGATATGGGTACAACTTAACCTTGATACAATTCAAAGCCAGTTCCAAAGAACTAACAGATTTATTTCCAAAAGTATTGGAAGATTGTTTGGAATCAAAACACAACTTTGACAAATGGAGAGCTGTTATATACAAATTATGAAAAGCCTTTCCAGTGAAGCTTTGATTGAAATAAACTGAGGTCAACAGATCCAAAGAGAACTGCAATGAAAATGAATCTTTTGATGCCATACTTCATGATTCCAAATTCACACTTAACTGAAGGCAACAGAATCCCCGGGGGGTACTCGATATATTCCTGGGTGGGGAGGTGCAGCACAGCCCCTCATACCCTGACCCTGTTTAAGACAAATATCGCTTATTTTCCTACCCTGTTTCAGACAGAATTCCGATTTTTGATACCCTGTTTAAGACATTTAATGTGCCTGGTATCAATGCCAAAATCAATGGAATTCAATATTAATTAAAATTAGAGCTTGTAAAAATTTTGCTGTTTATCTTCCAAGAAAAGATATCCTGTTTAAATAAAAAATTGATAAATCAATACCCTGATTAAGACAATAAATGATAAATTCAATACCCTGTTTAAGACAAAAATCTCGAAAAACATACCCTGGCTGGCTGCACGTCCCCATTAAGCCCTTATAAGGGAGTACCCCTCCCGGGACAGAATCCAACTCTATTAGACAATTAGGGGAGTATGGATTCATATCAGCCTTTGAATTATCATCTATTCCTCTACAAATTAACTAAGACTCTACAGAGAATAAGCTTCAACTGTAACAAGTTTGAGATGATCAGTTAAGTCCCTTAGGAAATTATTACTGAACAGGTATTAGGATGACCTATGGAAAACAAACAGAGTGGGCATAACACTGACCTTACTTAAAATTGGTCTATCATAGGGCAAGTGAGCCTCTTTTGTGACCATGATTACACGCCCTATGAGGAACAGAAGCTCCATTAAGCTTACACTAATGTGTTTGAAGTAAGACTCTTAGTTGGCAACAGGTTGTAGTAAATATTATTCAGTTGACAGGTTAGCACCATTTGTTATAACCATTCTTAATCAAATATATGCAAATATATGCAATTGATAAAACTTATCCCTGCTTGATTCCCAGCAGAACTTTCTGTCACTATGATCTGTAAAAATTGTCTCTTGCATAAAAAAATAAAAAATTTCCAATCTGCAAAAGAAAACTCCTGCAATATTTTTGCATTATAAAGTATCTTATTTTAAGTACCTCTGAATCCCTCTTCTCTCAATGTCTCTGCAGCTTTCATAGCTGCCCCACCTGCATGGTGTAAAAGAACCAAACTCATTTCAATTTCCATGTGAAACTTCCTGCTCCTATACAAGGGACCCTATTCCTCACCCTTAATAAGATAATTTACAGCTAATAACTGTTTAACACTTTCTTATCAACTTGGAAGTTCAAGTTTCTATCAGAAGATGCTTTCCAACAAGTCTCTAATTTATGTGGGACATTAAGTCTCTGATTTAAGTCTCTGATTTATGTGGGACATTATGTACCACATAAATCACCATAATTATCTGACAGCATAAAGAGGGGGGCTTTGGGATTTTCGGTTTTGCGGTTTTGACTGTCTTTTGGATCGGTTTTTTGGTTTTCGGGCCAAAAAGGTTCAATTTTTTGGTTTTGATGTTCAGAGCGGTTTGTGGATTTTACATATTTTTGGATTCAGTTTTCGGTTTTCACGAAAACTCTGATGTGGTTTACGGTTTTTTCTTTTTGACCCCTTTAAAGGTGACAATGTAGCGCTTTTGTCAGGTTTGCATGTGGTTTTCGGTTTTGCTGCCTTTTTTCATCGGTTTTTCAGTTTTGGAGGTTTTTTCTCCAGTTTTGCGGTTTCTCAGAGGCCCCAATGCCCCCCTCCATAAACTATCCTTACTCAGTTAACTGCTGGGCACATTTTCCTTGTATTGTGACCAGGAGCTTTGAGAAGAGGTGTGGTATTTACTCAAGGATAACTGTAGTTACATACCTTCTCGGCTTCTTTAATTTAACCTTTAACAACCCATGAACATGACAAACCATTTATTTCAACAGATTGTTTACTTCAAACAAGCTAGCTCACCTCCCCCAATGATGACAAAGACTCTTTTGTCATGACTCGTGTCTGCATTAACCATCTTTTTTACTCTTTTATGAGATGTAAATTGCTAAAGTGAAGTTGACACAAATTTTAAAGTAAATGTGCATATACTTTGACAATAACACTTTTATCAGATGAAGAATCCTAAAATAAAGTCATCATTACCATTACCATCAATAAAGATGCCAAGAGAGCAAATTTAAAGAGTCTAACTTTTGTCTTGTACTGCATTGGGGTAGATGAAACCAAACCTTCTCATGAAAGATTAACATAAAGCTTATAAAGTTATCACCACTTAAATATTCTCACAGTGAGGGGATTATGGGTAGCTTAAATGCATTGAATTCAAATGCATTTTGAGTGAAATCTGTTTACATTACAAGATATTGTCCTTCTACCCTACATTTAATCTTAGACACCACCGTGGAAATCTGTATTAGCCCTAATCAAAGCAATCATAATCATAAATTGAATCTGTGATAGTCATAATTTTGCATTTTCTTTACCTCTGGATATGCCCTAACAATAACATTGTCATTCTTAATGACCACCTGAAAATAAAAACAAAAAAAACAAAAAAAAATTACTTCTCAAACTACTAAACAATTTGCCATGAACAGTTATGGAGAAATTATATATTTTTGAATGTTATAGATACAATCTAGAAGTACTTTTCCCCCTGAGGTCTCACACTAGCTCAACCTGTCTGCACGTATTGCTTCCAGACACACTAGCTCTTTAGTTCCTTCATTTTTACAACCTCCGTCAAGAGTGTATCCCCTTTCAAATTTTCCACATGTGTATTGACAGTTCATCCTATCTTTCATATTTCTTTCCCTGATTATCTCATTCTTCAACTCCCTCAAAGTACTTACCCTTGTTGCTCTGTGAAAATCTATCAAGAAAAACCATTTACCTCAAATTTGGGCAAACTGTCTATTCCAGGAAAGTCTTCAATATCACCAGTCTTAATGTTAAAGCAAGCTCCATGCCAAGGGCACCTTACTCGTCCGTTACTGAGATGACCAGTTGATAATGGAGCACCATAGTGGGTACACTTGTGGCCAACTGCAGAATACTCCCCCTTCTCCCGTACCAGCAGTGCTTTACCTTCTCCAATGTCAATTGTTTTCATACTGCATTTTAAGGAGACAAGGCAAAAAATACGATGACTGTAAGTATCTTATTTTACAATTATCAGAATTAAGTGTATGCATGTATAGCCAATTACAAATGAAATACCCGACAAAGAAATTACGTATGATGCACGATCCTCGCAGTAGATAGCGCTATTTATGCAAAAGCGAAAATCAGACCTGAAAAAAAATATCAGGCCTGTATGGGACTCGAACCACTGACCTCTGCGATACTAGTGCAGCGCTCTACCAATTGAGCTAACAAGCCAACTGGGAGCAGGCCGTTAAGTTGGTTCGTAATAAACCCGTGAAAGTGATAAATGAGATAGAATAAATATATGAAGTTCATATATTTTGAACTGCGGTATTAGATACGTATGATGCATGATCCTCGCAGTAGATAGCGCTATTTATGCAATAGCGAAAATCAGACCTGAAAAAAATCAGGCCTGTACGGGACTCGAACCACTGACCTCTGCGATACTAGTGCAGCGCTCTACCAATTGAGCTAACAAGCCAACTGGGAGCAGGCCGTTAAGTTGATTCGTAATAAACCCGTGAAAGTGATAAATGAGATA